CATGCTGAGGATATTAATTTATCTGTATTGAAACAAAGACACATAAGTGTCCTAACTGAGCTGCAGTAAAACAAAGACACATAAGTGTCCCAACTAAGCTACAATAAAACAAAGACACGCAAGTGTCCTAACTGAGCTGCTTTGAAACAAAGACACATAAGTGTATAACTAAGCTGCAATGAAACAAAGACACATAAGTGTATAACTGAGCTGCAATGAAACAAAGACACATAAGTTTCCTAACTGAGCTACAATAAAACAAAGACACATAAGGATCCCAACTGAGCTGCAATAAAACAAAGACACATAAGGATCCCAACTGAGCAGCAATAAAACAAAGACACATAAGGATCCCAACTGAACTGCAATAAAACAAAGACACAAGGATCCTAACTGAGCTGCAATAAAACAAAGACACATAAGTGTATAACTGAGTTGCAATATAACAAAGACACATAAAGGCCCTAACTGAGTTGCAATAAAACAAAGACACATAAAGGCCCCAACTGAGCTGCAATAAAACAAAGACACATAAGGACCCTTAATGAGCTGCAATAAAATAAAGACACATAAGTGTATAACTGAGTTGCAATATAACAAAGACACATAAAGGCCCCAACTGAGCTGCAATAAAACAAAGACACACAAGGATCCCGACTGAGCTACAATAAAAGAAAGACGCAAATAAGGATCCTAACTGAGATGTAATAGAACAAAGACACATTGGGATACTTACATGGTGGCATTCACTCCCATGTGGTGTACGAAGTTAGTTCCATGGACATTATTTTCTGATAGACAAAAAATAGGCATATAGAAAATGCTTTCTAAACTACATTCACGCATACACATGAATATTATTGTCAGCGATATATTCACAAAATGACATGATGAACGATTTCTGAGATCCATTTACACAAATGTATGATAATGGCTTTCTGAGATGCAGTCATATCAAGACACACAAAAAATACATGCTGATATACATTCACACAAGGTAAAGTTAAATAATATACGTTTAAAAATTACTTTTTAAAGACAACACTTCTAAAGAATCCAGTGTCTCCAATCTTACAGATGTACAATGAATTTCTCATATAATTTTCGAATATTAAAAAAATTAATTTTTCAATTTTTTCAATTTATAAATTATTTCAATATATAAAATTTTTTCTTAATTATTTATTCTGTTAATTGATTCATGCATTGCCTCTGACTTAACACAAGTTTGCAAAATTTCAGATCAATTAGACAGGTAAAAGTGTGTCAAATATCAGTTATAAGATTTGTAGCTAACAAAATTATTTTTTTTTTAATTTTTTAATATTGAAAAAAAACGAATTTTAAATTTTAAAATCATTTATTTGGACATTTGATTCATGCATTGTCTCCAACTTTACGCAAGTGTGCAAAATTTCAGATAGATAGGAGAAGTAGAAGTGAGTTAAATTTCAATTATAAGATTTGTAGCAGACAGACAGACAGACAGACAGACAGACAAACAAGAAGTGAAGTTAAAGAGAAGTGTTGTAAAATGCTCTATTTTCAACATTTGTTTCGATGGAAAGAATTACGTTTGCATCACACCATTCATGCACCACGCAACATACATTTTCCTATGCTATCATTCTTTTCATGTCATCATAACACTTTGTGTTAATGTTACACAAAGTGTTATGATGACATGGAAATAATGAGTATAAGTTTATAAATAGCAATAATCACAAGTTTTTTACACTACACATCCTCCATCTTTGATTGTCGTATTCGTACAAACAAGCAGGTATGCTACCGACACATTATACTGTACAATATTATTATTACATGGATACTTTTTATTGTATTAACCATTCTGTTTTTCATACACTTTGGAATGCATTCATAATAGTTAATTGCTACTTCCCATTCGGTATTCTTTGCCAAGTATCAGCGTTGTACACTGTCCCCAAATATTCACTTTATACGTATTAAGATCACTTGATTGCTTAAATTGCAAATTTACCAAGAATTTAAAAGCGAAGAAAATAGCCAAAAACTTCACTATTTCTTGTAAGCGACAACGTTTTGCAGCCCAGCTCCATCGTCAGTTCAAAACCTTGGACAAATGTACAAAAGATTAGTAACCTAAAATTCACATTCAAACACATTATACACTGTATATTGTCCTCTGTATACACTACAGCTTATTGACTTGTTATTCTCTCCAAATTTTGCAGCCTATACACTGTGACTTTCCCTAGTTCAGATCTAATAGTATACCGACCCACCTAGTATAGTGCAAGTCAGACAGTATTAATTTTGACTTGTATAATGTAAATCTGGCCTGTTTATTTACACTCATAACAATGTGTGCTATATATTTTTTACATTCACAGAAAAAACAGTTGCAAGTAACATTTCAAATCGTGATATGACAAGATTTAGGGTAAATTCATCCAATTTTTTCCTCTAATTTCTAAGAATTCACCCTAAATTTAGAAGTAATTTAATTAAGTTCCATTGTATATCAACTCGGGTTTACGTTTAGTTCGTAAGTACTTGCCTTAAATAGAAAGAAATTCGGTAAAATTTAAATGTCTATTCATCCATTCTTTCTTCTTCCTCTCTTTTGTAACAAAATATTTCAACTTTAACAAGAATTCCATCAGGTATACAGGCTGCTTTCAAACAGTTTTCTAGTCGCTTATAATTTTTACAAAAATTTACGATCAGTTTTCAATTTTTACGAAATTGCATGCGCGGTTCACGCAGCAGGGCTGTATAGGTACGCGGGGTGTTTGGTGGTGTGTGATTTTGCACGTGTTTTGTGTTCTTGTGTGGTGTGATGTGTGTTCTGTGTTGTGCGTGGTGCTCTCGTGTGTTGCTAGTTTCTTTGTGTTGCACGAAAAACATTCAAAAGATGTGACATATTTTGTTTTGGTTCGATCGAATAAAATTTGGTTCGATAGAGAAACAAATTTATTTGATCCCAAATCAAATCGTAGCATCTACAGAGGAGTCAACCGTTCGCCTTCTGAAGTAATGCAGCTATGATCCTTCCAAGTGGATTATATGATATAAAATATAATTTATTCAAGCCTGCTTTTTTACAAAAAAAATGAAAATTACATATTTATTTCATGTCATAAAAATGAGAATAACGTAACAATTAATACTTTAATGCAGTATTTTGACTCTCCGTCTTTTGAACGTTTTTCGCACCAATTGCTTTAACGGTTTCTGTACACACAAGCTTCCTTTTGCTCTCTTTGCTGCACTCTCTACTGCTCTCTTTATTTTGCTCTTTTCTTACTGCGTGTTTTTGTTCTCTTTTTAATAATAAAATTAAGAACTGACACGAAAATTGGCTATGTATTTGTTATGGCTTCAATCACTGTTCCGGCTCCCAATTTACATTAATTTATATTATGAAATTTAGGTTAATACTTGTAAACTTGTCTCATCGTAAGTTAGGCCCCCAAATCTAATGTAAATATTCAATTTTCCCCAGATCCCACATTAAAGCAACTGGCGTTCTTCGATTTCATTTATGGTATCAAATATTCAATGTTATTTCAATCGCATTGACTAATACTTAATCGACTGTTTTTTCCCTTTTTTTGCATGTTAGTTCTACCTTTCCTTTTTCTTGACGTTAATTCGGAATTTTTAAAGACCAGGCACACCAAGAAAACTTTGCATGTTCAACAATATTGAATTCAGTTACAGGTTTTCATAAATATAAGGTTGATAGCTAAATGATTTTCAGTCGGCAAATATCATGAAAAATTTGCTCCATTTCACTTTAGGAGCTTGCAGCTCTTTGCATTGTTAATATACAGGACTAAATCTACAGGGTGATTCACGAAAACTTACCGATTTTAAAGCGCAATTAAAAAGAACTAATTAAGATATCATTACAATACAAATTTTATTGAACTAGACCTACCCGGAGTGTTAGTATCACTTGGTTTTAGAGATGACATCAGACAAATGACGGTCCCCATTTCAATGTATTGAATTAGTTGATTTTTGAAGTTCCGTTGAACTCGCTGAAGCATACTGACGGGTATGTCGGAGATGACTAGGCGTGTGTTGTTCTTCAAATGAGGTAGGATCCTTGGACACTCATTGTAAACAATTGATTTAAGATAACCCCATAACAAAATCCCACGGAGTCTAATCATAGGATCGGACCAGCCAAAAAAAGGCCACCCCTCAAGAAGATTACACGCTCTGCATAATGTTGTCTCAGACGGAGACATCTCTGCAAATCGGCCATTTGAAAAGTACGCCTCGACAGCAAACGCACGCTGCTCACTTGTCCAATGCATAGTGGCAACTGCCTAGGCGGACACAAAATTACATAACCTTGCCTTTGACATGAAATACTCCTTGCCCTGTTACTACAACATGTAGCTGCTTGTCGCTAAACACAAAACAGAAAGTTTCCGTGAATCACCTCGTATTAAGTTCATGAACAAATAAACAATTTCTAAACAGCGAAGTTAGAGCTGAACTTTGCCTCTAACGTACAGATTATTATATTGTATTATTTTCTTTCGAATATATGTTTTGCAAAGAGTGATATTAAGAGACTCACGAGTAGTTATGATCAAACACAAAAGTTTCATCCATCGATCAACAATTTGTGCTTGAACATGCCAACTTTTCTGAAATATTTTCTGTAAAATAAAGAAACACCAAGCCTGTTTCAAATACTTGGAAGACTTCAAATCGAAACAATGTTGTTATAAAGTATTATAAATAATCGAGCTATCTGCCGGAATTTTCACAAAAAAATTATAAATTGGTTCCAATTTAGAAATAAAAATTTGAGAGAGGTAATGCCTAAACTGTTATTAAACATATGCTGAATGGAAGATGATGAGTTTTCCTTGGTTCTGAAGCAAAGAATCTTATGATCGGGGTTAAAAATAAGTAATTTAATCCTCTTTAAATTTTTATTAGCATATAAATAACAGGTGAGTGAGTTTGTTGAATTTATCTACCCCCATCAGGACGAGTGCCACTGCAGGAGCCATGCTGTACTCCTCGCCGTACAGCGCCGTCCTGCCCGCCGCCGCCATGACAGTCCCAACCGCTGCTTCTGCGGGCCAAACTGTCATTCCTGGAGGTATTTATACTTCTCCATTACGAATTGGTGTTAGGTTATACTTTTATACTCCTACATTACGTTTTGGGCGTTATGTTACCTTTTCTACTCCTCCATTAGCTTTTATGGAGTGGGTTATCCTTTTTCTACTCCTCTATTAGCTTTTAGGGAGTGGGGTACCCTTTTTCTACTCATCTATTACGTATTGGGTGTTGGGATATACTTTTTATAATCCTCCATTAGCTTTTAGGGAGTGGGTTATCCTTTTTCTACTCCTCTATTAGCTTTTAGGGAGAGGGTTATCATTTTTCTACTCCTCTATTTCCTTTCGAGTGTTAGGTTATTCTCTTTCTACTCCTCCATTACCTCTTAGGTGGTGAGTTATCCTTTTTCTACTGCTCCATAACTTTGTGGGTGAAGGTAATTCCATTCTAAACCTCCATTGTCCTCTGAGTGGTGGTAATTCCATTACTTGATAATACTACTCCATTACCTTTTGGATTGTAGGTAATTCCTCCTGGATCTAATAACCATTAGAATCCCACGTAAGTCATGTAGCTTTTATCGACTGATACATCTGAGGCCGTTACTGTTATTCGTACAGTAGTCTTGATAACTTATGTTACCCTCAGTAGACCAAACGCTGACTCTCCTGTTTTTTTTTCCAATAAGTTAATGACATCCTTAAAGTTATGGAGGATTTTACTACTTTTTGCTCTATTACACCATGAATAAAAAATTTCAAGCAACATAAATGCGTTTCATAAATGAGTTTTTATTGAAATTTTAATATTTCTTCAATCGCTGAAATTCAACGCGTTTTCATGTTCGTATTTTGATTCAAGTGTTTTAGTTTCAGTTTTTGGGTCTTTGATTTTAAATAGCGAAAATGTATCGAACGAACATTATTTAGCTACCAATTTAATTAAAAAAATTAAAGTTAATTTTTCTGATTAATTGGGCGTCTCGATCATATATAACCTTTAAATGTATTGTGTTTCATTCTAAAGATGATAATCCACCTGACCTATCGAGAAAGAAAGTTTTTAACATAAATTTTTATAAAAAATCTGACAGCTAGACTCGCTGTTTAGAACTTAGAAGTGGTGCTGTCTTTCTAGCAACCTTTTTTGACCATTTTTCCCGTTTTTTCACTGAATCCCCATAGTTATAAGAAAACAGGTTAATAAAACGTACGCTATTGACGATCTCCATCGTTTCTCTGAAGACCGACCGCTTGTACACTTCGCTTAAAAGTTAATATCTATATTTTAATGAAGAACAGGAGAATATTAACGAAATTAGTGATCTTCCCAGTCTATGACAGTTAAAATAAAGTTTACAATGTTGAAAATTCACACTAGTGATACTGGGATCAAAATCTTCATATTTTCAGAAGTATCAAATAACGAAATAACTTGGCTTTCAGATGTTGGGGCAGGTCTTATCATGTTGAGAGTTCAAAACATTGATTAATGAAGGATTTATAGGATGCGGCACATATAGATTTTAGTACAAGTATTGAAATGTTGACAATTTAAAGCATTGATTAGTAAAGGATTTGCATGATACGCTGCCTGTAGTTTTGGTGCAAGTATTAAAATATTGACAATTCAAAACAATGATTAGTAAAGGACTTGCAGGTTAAGGCGGCTCTACTTTTGGTCCAAGTATTGGGATGTTGACAATTCAAAACATTGATTAATTAAGTATTTGCTGGTTAAGGCGCCTGTAGTTTTGGTGCAAGTATTGGAATGTTGACACTTCAAAACATTGATTAATAAAGGATTTGCAGGATACGGCGCTCCTACAGCGTACGACTATGCAGGACTCACGGTGCAGAGCTCGGCCGTATCGCCTGCGTCGCAGCTACCACCGCAGTACTTCTACCAGCAGATGGTTGATCCAAGCCAGTACATGACCATGACCAGCCTGCAAGGTACCAGTATAAGACCACGACGAGTTAAAAATTTGAGAAGAAAGTAATCAGAGTACAGTAGTCTCGTCCAGTACATGACCATGACGAGCGTGCAAGGTACCAGTATAAGACCATGACGAGTTATATATATGAGATAAAAGTAATCAAAGTACAGTAGTTGCGTTTATGGTTGATCCAAGCCAGTATATGACCATTACGAGCCTGCAAGGTACCAGTATAAGACCATGACGAGTTATATCTTTGAGAAGAAAGTAATCAGAGTACAGTAGTCTCGTTCAGTATATGACCATGACGAACGTGCAAGGTACCAGTATAAGACCATGACGAGTTATATATTTGAGATGAAAGTAATCAGAGTACAGTAGTTGTGTTAATGGTTGATCCAAGCCAGTACATGACCATGACGAGCCTGCAAGGTACCAGTATATGACCATGACGAGTTATATATATGAGAAGAAAGTAATCCGATGAAAGTAATTGACCATGACGATTTTCATATTTGAGATGAGAGTAATCAGATCCTAGCAGTTACGATCATCAGTATCCCATTCTTAAATCCTGTGAGATTTTCTTTTTCTTTGAAAGTTTAACATCATCTTTATTCAATAAATTAATTACGTGCATGATTTTGTATCTATAATATGTTTCACATATTATTATTCTATACATTACTGTCGTTCGTGTTTCTCTGTATATAATAGGTTACATACATTATTATGTTATGAAAGTCTCCGTCTATAATAGGTTACATACATTTTTATGCTATGCTAGTCTCTGTCAAAAATATATTTCACACATCATTATACTATGCATTATAGCCGTGAGCTATATTCTCTGCCTATAATAGTTTACCGACACATTTCTTCGTCATAATATAGATTATTACTAGCCGCAGGTAGCCCCCTGACCGGCGGCGGTGCTACGGCAGTCATGCCAGGGATGTACCAGAGTCTCGGACCTACGTCTGCTGTCTCTGTCAGCGCTGCTGTCACGTCTGCCACTGCCGCTCTGCCAGCACCCGCTCCGTCTGCCCTGCCAGCAGCGACTTACCCTGCCATACAGGACCAGCGCTAATATGCCAGCAATCCGCTCTGTCATTGACAGGATTGCGAAAGCTACCTGCATATGAGGCTATGGAAATTTTTGACTACGATTTGCCTAGCGACAACTCTGGAAATATAATTCAGATATTTTAAATTTTTGGTAACATCTTTTCGTCTCGGTTATGAAAATTGTTGTTTCTTAATGGTTTTCATCAGTTGGGAATATTTTTAGGTTTCATATTCAGCGCGGAAATAATTTAGTCCCATTGTGAAGTAAATCTTTTGTCATCTGACTTGCTTTAGATCCTTTAGCAAGACGACTAAAATTAGGTGTCAATCATCATTTATTTGGAAGATTCCACGCTAAATTTTGAAATTATGTGGCTGGTTCACAGAATTTAATGAATATTTTATCGTGACTGACGCATCACGAGATTTTTATCTTAAGTGTACTCATGTCGACGTATGACGCTCTCTTTCACCACTCGCGCTACGTTCCTCCAGAAAAATAACGTGGAAATAACGTTAAATCAACGTTATTTTAACGTCGGAGGAGCTAGTGTCGGCTTGCCGATGACAATTAGTTTATAAATGCTCCTGAGTGCGTTTAATTATTCCGTTATTCTGCTCAAATGAAGCGAAATACTCTTGGCATTTCGCTGTTTTTTAATACATGAAGTCGTTTGTTTGAATTTAACGTGGAAATGTTTTTTACTATCCATCATGATAAAATGGCTCTTGTATTGAGCTTTGAATCTCTAAACTTTTATAGCTCTCGTAAACTCTGGTAAACTGAAGTTCCATATATTAATCTGCATTTTTTCAATATATTTTTATTAAAATTTTACCGACATGGTACTATTTAAGCTACTACCTTATCCTCTTTAATTGCATGGCGACAAACATTAGTTTATTTTTCAAAAACAAAAAATTTTCCGTTTATGTGTCTTTTGTCTTCAATAGATTAATATAGATGTTATCTAGAAATTGATATTCAAATTACAGTTTTGGAGTATTATTAATATCTTCACTTGAAAATTTTCCTGAAATTTGATTGGTTAACACTTGCAGTGGTCGGTCCAGCAGCGGATGCAAAAATCGCAACTTTTAAGCCAAGCGACATGTTGATGAATACTTTTACAGGTACTGAGGAACGGTTTCTACTGATATTTTCAGTAAGATTGCGTCCATTATTCAAACTGAATTTCCTTAGAAGGAAGTGTAGAATGACAATACAACTTTAATAAATAAGAGCCTCTTACACTTTGAAATGTTAAATCATTTATAGTACCAGCGTGAATGTACGTCGTATGTGGTGTAGATCTTTATTGATGCCATTCAGGGCCAACAATTGTTGTGATTAGATACTATTCAGTCATTCATCTGAACTGAATTTTTTCCTTGATCGTTTATATTGTTGTCAGCTATTGAAGGTCTTGTGTGACGATAGCTGCGTTAAGAAATTCTGGGGCATTAGACATAACAATGTCGACTGGCGTAACAATGTTGCAAGTCATTATAATTTAAGGGTATTAAACATCGCATAGCAGAACATTGAGTATCCACCGAGAACTCGCCTCTAATTTCAACTAGAATATGATGCTTGATGTTTAGTGAATCTTTTTCTGTGTCAGGAATGACTGATTTTATACACCAGGGGTACGAATCCCCGAAAGCTTAAATGTCTTTATTATTGTGGTCTTTGAGCGCCTTTGTTTGAGAAGAGAACCTGGTCTTTTTTGCAGCTGATGTTTGAATCATGTATATATTGTAACTTGTAGTTACTTCCTCTTATCATTATGGAGACAATGTTAAGTTTTTGTATATCTAGGCAGGACTTGATCAGGTCAGTTATCTTTACAGAGCTGCGATTGCCTGACTTCACATTTGGAGACCAGAGAAGCACCTCGCTGCTGAAATCACAGCTTCTGTAGCATTAAATATTCTAACTTACCTTTAAAGTTACCTTTAGGTTTAAGTAATTTTTGTGCAGCCTGAACATAAAACATTTTGCTAAACACTTACAAGACACTCGGTATAATTTTTTACTAGTCTATTGATTAATTCTTATTCCATTCTTGCATAAATTCAAATTCGAACATTATATGTTTCATCATTCATCTAGGAAGCGTCAGAGACGACATCAGTTACTGTTATACTCACTAAATTTCCTAGGAGTTTGCTGAATTAAAGTAAAAATGGGGTAAAATTACAGCATATTAGGCGCTTTACTTTTCACGGTCCACTAACTAACGCGTACGAAAATTATTTTCCCCTTGATCTACATAAGCGACTCAGTTCAAGGCTGACTTGCACTATTTATCCAATCCTATTTTGTAATATTCTTATATTCATTTTAGTGATAATTGTAGTAATAAAATGTAGCTTAGTTATTCTTGTAGTAAAATGAAGCATAGTTATAGCGTAGAAGATAAAGTAATGGTTAGATTTTAAGTCAGTTAAGTTTCACGCAGTCCTTCTAGACTTTAGTGACATGTTTAAAAATCTGTTAGCACATTTACTCTCTACCACAATGATCGTTATCTTTGATATGTTGCCGTATTAATCAGCTGTCCGAATACTGCTTAGCCTGATATACTCAACTTACTGTATTTCTCATGTGCATACATGCTAAGAAATTTATTCTCATTTGTTGCATATACAGTAATTACCTTATAATGCACTCATTGCAATGATTTAAACCTTTTCCATTTAGGAGATGTATTCTTCGATTTGAGCATTATACTCTTGAGAAAAAAAAGGGTTCGAATTCGCTTTTTCATTCAATTGCATGCGCTGTTTTACGAAATTTCATGATTGTATTGCAATTTTCAAACAGCCATTTCTCATCTCGCCATTTCAACAAGTTTGGCGAGAAATCGAATAAAAACGCTGTACCCAATTTTTCACATCAACTTCATAATCAACAATTAAGCATAATTGAAGTTGCGACATGGCTGGGACTAACAATTTCTGTGCCATCTTCAGTAAGCTGTTCTTAATTGTCAGACGCGTTCAATTATATTTCGAAGATTCGGCACGCATGGTGCCTTATTATCGTGCCTGCTTTCAATTATAATTCTAATGAAAGAATGACTATACTGAGATTTTCTAGTACCCTTTGGCTCTCGAACCCATACATTTTTTTTCGGAAATTTTCAAAACTCTGCACAAAATTGTCCCGGTTTTACGGGTGAAAACCTTCAGTCTTTTGAGAAACGTTACGACGAGTGATTATTCTGACCAAGATTGTTGCTCTTTGATGTTGTAAAATTTTTAATTGTCACTCCTGCTTCGATATTCGTTTTAAAAACTTAATAGTTCGGTCAAAATTATTTGATTTGCTCTTTTTTTTGATCTTCTTTCTTGTTTTCACTTGGCGAACTTCCTTTAGAATATAAGTGGTGCAAGTCTAGTCAGGTTTTCGAGCTCACAAGCAATTCAAGAGGTGAGCGGTGCGCTTAAAAGGTCTATTGAGAACTGATAGTTTTTTATCCCCTTCAGCCTATAACATGTCAAAATTTGTTATAAATGGGCATTATTTTTAATGTTAACTTTGAATATTTTGATGCTTGGATCACTTAAGTTACTCGAAAGATTATTCACTGCAGTTACCGTTTCAAGTGCAACTGGATCATTATCTTTAATCACTGATGATTTGTTGGTAAAGTAGACCTGTGAGACTAAAACGAAAGTTCATAAGACTTGAAAAGATTTTCATGAGACTTTCTATATGAAGAATAGAAAGTTCATAAGACTTGGAAATATATTCATGAAACTATATTTAATGTTATAGGAACGTAGCTCAAGGACCAGCCTGGTGGATGTTCACACCGTGCCTTATTAGCAATAAGCATGTCAGTCGATCTACGTAATAACGTCGTTCTGATTATTCACTTTTTTTAATCCCCACGTCGCACTTTATGTACTTATATAATAATATTAATTATATTATATGATAACGCACATTTCTTTTACTGTTCTTTACATGTTTCTTAATCTTTGTCATGAGATGATAATCTCATGTCCAATCTTACGATCCTAGAGTCCTTCCATGTTGAGATTGTTTTGAAGAGTTTCAAATGCTTTAAACAGTTTCAGAACATCATGATGCTACCAATAATCCCTCCGACTGCCTTAATCTGCCTTATAACCTGCTGAAACGTACATATTCATGATTAATTTATAAGTCACAGTTTATTTTTTCTGATACGGCTGCACCATCAGCTGTTTTGTCTAGGCAGGGTAGTGAGTTGTGGGTTCGATCCTAGCGACCTGCTACAGTTCTGGTCAAAATCGGCGAAGTGGCCGGTGTCTTAAGCACACCAAAACTGGATTAGTGAGTTGCGTGTCCGAGACCGCAACAAGCTGTGAATATTCTGCCATGTTAAGAATCGGCAACTGGTCCAGTTGCCTTATGAACGCTGGCTCCGCTATATATGCTATACTTTACGTTTTGGACATTAATTTCTATATGGTGATATTCTTTTAAAAGCGAGCTCCTCTGTATTAGAGCTTCTGTTGTAGTTATCTCTGAGATTTGCTCAAACCCAAGATGTGCTGCAGCTTCTGAAGAACATCGTAAATGCTGCAGTGATAACAAATGCTTAAGGAATAACAAATGCTTATTAGCGAAGCGTTTGTTTGTGGGCAGCGACATGACGGCTGCTTATATGAAGGAGTTTTTCACACCAAAAAAATTAACTTATTTGATTCGTTCGTTGTCACTGTAAAATTGTATTTTTATGGGAAATTATGGCTGTTTGTAATGGAGATTAGCCGAACAATTTGTATTTGAGTCATTTGTTCAAGACGGTCAATGAAGATTGTAATAAATGCAAGAGTGTACTCTTGAATCTGTCGAGATTGGTTTATTCAGATGATAAATAGTGCTGTCTCCCTTAATTGTATGTGATTGTCGCAATTATGCGTAGGAAGGAATATTAACTTTCCCATTAATAACTCCACTATAAGTTAGCTCTAATGACTGCCCAGTTTTGCAGAGAAGCGTTCAATCGAGGTTATTTACTTCATTGAGGTATTGACATAAAAAATACATGCAGATCCGAGCATTTGTTTGTGAAACAGAGTTGTTGATTGACAGCCGATGAATGGACAGATGAATTAGTTATCGGAATACCCGATTGTTATCAATTTTGTTGGATGAATAAATTCAGTCGCTGATGCATGAAAGCAATGTTGATATTTAACTTTAGTAATAAATCATTAATACCTCATCATTGTTTCACTCAATATCCTAAACCTAATAGAAATTAATTATATAGTAGAATAAAATGGTCGAAGATTCGCGCTTGCCTTCAAAAGGCCCATATGTCAGTCCAAGGCGACTGAATATTATCGTGTGCGATAGCGAATCAAACTTTTTAAAAGCTGATGATGTATTTTTTCCGAACTACTTTCGAATGATTTCTTAACTTTTTAATCCCTTAATTTCTTAAAAATTAATTTAGAGCTCTAGAGAACTCCTGTTTGTGGTTCAGGTCCGCTTCAGTTGCAAAATGCAATCGTGATTGAAATAGCAACTAATTTTTCAGGTACCTGAAGCTATTTGCATGTAGGTTTTATTTATTACACAATTTAGTGTGAGACAATATATTAGGTGTTTAGTTTAGACACGTTTTTCCGTATAAAATGGACGTAAAGATTTTTTGGCATGAAAAGTTCCGATTGTTTGGTTTGGAATAGATTTGTTACATATTTTATATAAGGAAAAATATTAGGTGTTTAGTTTAGACTCGTTTTTCCGGATAAAATGGACGTAAAGATTTTTTGGCATTAAAAGTTCCGATTGTTATGTTTGGAGTCATTGCTGAACGTTTATTCTCAAAACTGTTCTCACGAACAATATTAGTAACGCGTGAGCATGAAACATTATTCAAATTGAATGTTTAATATCGGTCACTGTTAATTTTTTCATAGGCAAAAACCTTTTACGCGACCATATACAAAGAAGTTTTATGAAACTATAGAAAGAAAACATGTATAGTGCGTTCGAAGCCCAGCAGAAGTAAAAAGCGAATGTGCCTGAAAATGAAACACTGCGGATAATGATGTAGCCAGTCTTTTATAATATTGGATGATGTTATTGGCGTTCAGTTCCAACGGTTAATTACCTTCCATTTTACGTGTATTGCAGGCCGCATTAGTGGCCGTATTATTAATGGCCGTATTGTGGCAGCGCAGCCGTGCTGCTATCAAATCGTTCAGCTGCAGACTCGTTATCTATCGTAAATTATTTGTAAGTGCCTTAACTTTTAAATATGAATACCTCATCAATCAACCGCATAGACTAATATTGGGATCTCATTAGACACATTATGTCATCCGTGATGGCCTCCTCACTGCCTATAAATTCCATGGTAATTCTGAACAAAACAAAGGCGCACCTAACGTCAACCAAGGACTAGCCACACTTTTTCAAGCTCTTGGTCAGTCAACTAAAAGAAAAAAAATTAAGCTCCTTGACAACTCAACGCGCTAGGCAAAATAATCTTTACGAACCTGTGACCAGCAGCAACAGTTTCCACTAACCATCACCAGCTTCATCACGTGGAAAGATATCAATGTCTAGATCCGAATATTTTCCAAATGGTAAGAAGTATACTATAACAAACCAGATAACTTCCTCATTAATTTCAAGGAGTACGTTACTTGAAGTAGAAATGACATTAGAAAACATTGGATGTTGAGTGCCCCTCAAAACTTATGTTGTCCAATTTGCTATTCTGAGTTTGATCACCGCGCTGCTACTTCTACATTGAAGGCCTTTGTGAGTATTTCCTTACCTATATCCACGCAGTATATGGGCCACCACGACCATGGACAACCAAGCACCACGCAGTATATGGTCCACCACGCACCATATACAACCAAGCAGTATATGGGCCACCACACCGTATATGGGCCACCACGCAGTATATGGGCCACCACGCAGTATATGGGCCACCACGCAGTATATGGGCCATCACGCAGTATATGGGCCACCACGCAACACCACGCAGTATATGGGCCACCACGCAGTATATGGGCCACCACGCAGTATATGGACCACCACGCAGTATATGGGCCACCACGCAGTATATGGGCTACCACGCAGTATATGGACCACCACGCAACATGAACGACCAAGCACCAAACGAGTCGAGGCATTCGAGTCTTGCTGCTCCTAGCAACTATATTATGGTATTTAGTATGATTTATGCACAAGATATTCATAATGCAATCCTCCATACAATTACTCAGTCTAGACCAGTTCTTCCAGGCAACTTGCTGCTGTGAAGCAAAAAATGCTTCTCCATATTTTTTGCACTAGACTATTCTATTCCCCGGACCCCGGTACATCATTGGGCCTTTCTGCACAGCACTTCCTACATTTAGGTTAAAGATTACAATTGGATAGCTACCTACCTTCAAGTCTGAGATTAACATTTAATAAATTATCACGAAAAATGTGCTAATTATTGGGATAAGGTTCATTTGGGGCATCGATAAATTTAGTATAAATTCTAAATTTCTAGATGGTTTTATCAGCAGGACCGTCAAAGCTTTTGTTGATCAGGGCTCTTAAGTCACGTCTCATGGATATTGTAATATTACAGTCCATATTATAGCTTATTTAAGGCTGTAGTAAAATGCTGCGGTTACATTAAGTTATTTAACGACTTCATTAGTTATTTAAGTGCGCGTTAACTTCAAATCTCAGAATTGTATATGTGTGCCCGGGCCTCCATCTATGGACTCAGCAATTGCCTGCTGTAATATTTTCAATGGGCTTTTCTCCATGTCAGCTTTAAATATAATCCATAGAAGAGCAGATCTCGCTCGTTCAACAACATTTTATTAAATTAAACAACTATCAATTTGTGCACATAAACAATATTTGATTGGTAAGAATTATACTCAAAAAAGGAGATTGCAGCAGAGAACGGTAGCTTAGCGTCAACCACCCTACTAGATGAAATACCTATTACGTGATAACCTATTCCTATCTACTACCACAATAGTTGTCGGGATACCCACTTTTTGTCACATAACGACAAATTCCTTACATCTACTAATTGTTAACGCAAAGTTCTAAGTCAAAATTTGAACATGAATGAATTGGTAAAAAGATTAAATCATTATATGATTTCCTAAAGTGAGCTACTATGAAAATCATTTGAATATTATTTTAAAATTACCAAGTTCCTACGAATTTCAGTCATTGTTTTGTGATTCCATTGCCGCTGCCCTCAACGCAATCGAAAGAAATTAAAACATGATAAATGAAGCTAAAACAGTTTTCGCCTTTTCCGATATTTCTGTTAACATTACTTGTAAATAACCTTAAATTAAAATATCATAATTTCCTTCTGGTTTCAAAACGCGACTAAAAACCGAAAATTTAAATACATTTATTCGTAAGTAACTGCGTACTTATCGAGTTCAGAAGCATCCCCCTTCACCATGATCACTTGGTGGTTGTTTAGAATTTTGTTTATCATCATTAAGTGAATGATGATATAATGATGACATACAACGGGTGCAAAAAGTATCCGACACTAAAGGAAAAACTTTACTACTTTGAAACTTAACTTTTACAAAATTGCAATCATCAAGTCAGCATTTAATGATATTCTTTTGTCATATGAAACTTGTATTTTAGATGTAAATTTACAGTAGAATAGTGTTTGTTTATGTTATTTTGTTGGATAAGTTTTGTTTAAATAAAGTTTGTCCTTTGTGTTGGATACTTGTTACACCTACTGCATTATACCGGGATAATGCATCAATCAATGATATGCAACAGCATATATTGTATGCTGCATCAAGCAACATCCTTTATCAAAATGAATGATAAGAAACATTTTGCCCTTATCATCGCATCGCACAGATCTGCGCAGGTTATATAAGGGACTGCACTTGCTTCAGTCGTTAGTTCGGCGGTCTGAGTTGCGGAGTCGACAGGCTGGTGAAAATCGTTGAAAATCGTGTTGTGTGATAAATAATTTTTAAATCTGAACATTGAAAGAGAATTTTTGGAAAACAATCTTTAAGAGAAGCAAATTAATTTACGTTTTACTCTACGGAATTTCATGACATTGCTAGTTTGCTGTTGCTAAGTTGACGCTGTAAAAAAAATTATGGCTTGCATTAAAAAGGAAAACTAAAATCTCTCTCTTAATGACAATTATCTAAAAAATAGATGAATTAGATGAATTATCTAGATTGATCACCGAAATTCAAATAACGATGTGTAAACGGCTTTGCACTCGTCGAATATTTCAGCAATGAAATTTTTCACTATCCAATGTATGTTCGTATTTGTATTTGATAGCAATTATTCGTATGTCATTTCATTTTAATTCGTATGTCATATAATTTGTAGCTGAAATTTTCACGGAGAAATATGAGTTATATTGTAATGATATTCATACTTATCTGGACCGACGATCATTGCCCCAGTGTGTCAGTTGAATGAGACAAGAAGCATTCAGTTGGTCCCATATATGCACCATAGCTCTGCTGCTTGGTTGTATATTTTTACCGTACATGTCAGTGGATTAAATTTATTGCTAAGTCACCAACCTTGTGACTTGAATTTGTGACGTAATCGCCAACCTTGTGACTTAAATTTTTGACTAAGTCACCAACCTAGTGACTTAAATTTATGACTAAGTCACAAACCTTTTGACTTGGATTTGTGACGTAATCGCCAACCTTATGACTTAAATTTGTGACTTAATCACCAACCTTGTGACTTAAATTTGTGACTAAGTCACCAACCTTGTGAATTAAATTTATGATTAAGTCATCAACCTTGTGACTTAAATTTGTGACTAAGTCACCAACCCTATGAATTATATTTATGACTAAGTCACCATCCTTGTGACTTAGATTTGTGACGTAATCATCAACCTTTAGCCTTAAATTTATGACTAAGTCACCAACCTTGTGACTTAAATTTGTGACTTAATCACCAACCTTGTGACTTTAATTTATGACTAAGTCACCAACCTTGTGACTTAAATTTGTGACTTAATTACCAACCTTGTGACTTAAATTTGTGACTGTCACCAACCTTTTGACTTTAATTTGTAACTAAGTCACCAACCTTGTGACTTAAATTTGTGACTAAGTCACCAACCTTGTGACTTAAATTTGTGATTTAATAACCAACCTTTTGACTTATATTTGTGACTAAGTCACCAACCTTGTGACATAAATTTATAACTAAGTCACCAGCCTTGTGCATTAAATTTAGTTCTTAGTCACTGACCGTGTGATTTGAATTTATGGTTAAGTAACTAAACTTATGACTTAAATTTATAACTAAGTCACCAACCTTGTAGAAGAATATCTAAATTTCATTTGTGTTACGATTTGACAAAGTATCTCAATATTCTTATTGGGATTTAATGTTAATGGCCAAAGCTATCATTTTTCTTTTGGTCACTGTTAGATATAAGCTGCATATGTGATAACAAAAGGCTCGACTCGAGATTTCCATCACTGATTCATTTTCATTACATTCAAGTACGTTTAATTCCGGTACCAAAATTCTACAATTACTAACTTCATCATTGATACAAAATAAAACATACCTTTAATTTATCTTCACAAGAGCATGCCAGAAAAAACGCTCGAGCAATTGTAGGGTAGGAAAACTGGATGAGAGAGGGGCCTTTAAAGTGGGGCTGGCCCTAACCTGTTTTAATGTCATAAAAACATACTAGTTAATGATATGAGTGATTGCCTGAGGTGCTCACCGAGCGTAAGTTTCGTTCGAGATTGCTTGCAAAATACTAGAGAAATTTGTGAATCATTCATGAATGCATTGCATGAAAGAGTTTTCGTCCGAGATTGCCTATTCTGCTCTTACATCAAGTAAGTGATGTATTCGGAATCAGTACACTTTTAATAATTTTTTCAATTACAACAAATTTTTACAGGCCTACCAGCATCGTATTTACAGCGCGAGCAGTGCCCTTTTGTTGTTGAAGACAAGAAACGATGTCTGAAAATTATGAAAACGAAACTGAAAGGTAATGCGAATAGCAAGGACAAATTATTAGAGGTAATAAATTATCCAACTAGCAGTTTTTTGTCTCGTTTGTTTTAATTAAAATTACTAGTAACTGCAAGCATGTTTTCATTATCAATAACGGAACGAGATTATTAACGAGTAAGAAAATGAAGTAAATCAAAGGAAGATCAACTAAACTAACATTAAAGCTAAATTTGTTTGACTTCAATTTAGAAAAATTTATATTGTTGATGCAATAATACCAACTAACAACCAGCTTTGCTATACATATTGCAAGAAACATGCTCTTTCTGTTGTAACAATCATGCAAGTAGGCCAATATCTCCATAGATTTTTATGCGGTCTCAGGTGTTGGCCTCAAGTTGAACAAGGTCACACTATAGAACGTGCAATCTTTGAGGTCAGGGCATCAGATGGCACCATATACATATACCATCTAGAGTCTGATTAAAGAAAAAACGAGATGATATCGTTATGTGTAACTTGTGTCAGATCCCAAGGTTTAGAGGTAACGTGATTAGATCTAGGATGCTGCTGGTAAATGATTTTCTTTCTTTCTTTCAGTATATCAATTATGAAACTTATCGGTATGTTATTCATTGTGGAAATTAGCACCATATATACCATCAAGACTCTGATTGAAGAAAAAACGAGATGATATCGTTACGTGTAACTTATGTCAGATACCAAGGTTTAGAGGTAACGTGATTAGATCTAGGACGCTGCTGGTCAATTCTTTGTTTCAGTTTATCAATTAAGAAACTCAAGCGGCATGTTATTCCTTGTGGAAATTAAAAAAAAAATAGTTATGTTGTATGTAGAGCATCGTATAAAATTTCACTCAGCATAAAGCCTGACTATTTTTACGTCTGAGTAACTGATCCCATATCCTATTTTCAAAACAGAATATCCTTGGAAGAGCTGGAGCATCCGAACCAAGAATATATTGACAAACACTTGCCCATGGCCTCACGTCTTGCGAACGTCGTCCCGCACTCCTTCACGACCCTACCACAGTACGCGGACTTCCACTCCGCCCATCGTTCCTTCCCCTGCAGGAGCTCGGATATCTGGGTGGCGTCGCACCCTAAGGCAGGTTCGTACGAGTAGTTAGTCTTCGAATCCTGGACCTATACTTTTCAAAAAAAGTTAAGAGATCGTAAGTTCATCAGCCAATCATTGACGGCCTTTCAAGCAAAATCCAGCAATCATAGACAAGAAAATAGAGCGTAAGTACTTACGCTCACTTAGCGAGTTTTGAAAGTATGGCCCAAGGCTTGGTGTTAAGGTAATCCCGAGCCCAATCAGTCAGTTGCCCGACATTCTTTCGTTCGTGTCCCGGCCTACAGAGGCGGCGCTCCAGTGTGGTACGGGGAATCATACTTAATAGGAATGCCGCTTAGTTAGAGGGTTAATACACTAATCAACGCTCTACCGCCGTATGTCACTCTCCGGGAACATAAATTTCTACTTAAATTATACGTAAACTATTGAGTGTGGCAACATGAGGACGTTTGTACGCAACAGAGAACATTTTAAAAAGTTGTAGTACGTGGAGGCAACCATCAGTGCAAGTCATTTTGCGCTCACTAGAACGTATCCTTTTTGGGAAGTAGGCGCGTGACAATATTGCTTAGGTTACTCATGTCAGGCGGTAGAGGGTTAATTTTGACTCAAGGCTTTTGGAATATTACGAGCAAGTAGCAGATATTAGATAGGCGTGGGACTGCTACGTCCGAAACACTTACCAATGATACTAAGGATACGAAAAATATTAAGGCCTCCTTCATCGCGGTATCTAAGATTTTATTCTAAACCGCGGAAACATGCCAAAAATCTTCATGAGCAAAGCGGGAAGTACGTAATAAACTTGATTTAATTACAATTGTTTGCGAAATGTATATTACACGTTGAAGAGTTTTTTCAACGTTTTTTTTTAAATTCCGTGTCAAAACGAGGAACGAAAGTTTATGAAAGCATTTGCATTCACTGCATGACTTGATCGAGAATCCTGCAACGTGTCCATGTCCTTTCAACAGATTCTGCGTATGAATCACTTTGTTGATTTATTCTTCTTCTACTGTATACTTTTATTAATAATTCAGTGTAGGACGAAGTTAACTTTACCGAGTCTGACCAGTGACCATCGGAGAAATTTGTGTCGGTTGAAGTTGAGTGATGAATGAGCTGAATTCAACGTGACTTATGAGTGAAGCGTTGAATGAAGCGTTGAACAGGATGTTTACCTTACGCTTCTTTCAAACATTCAGCATTTTAGTTGGGGATTGATGTTAGTGCCGTATTTTGCTATATATCATGCAATATGAAAGAGGGTATAATCGTAATTTCGAGTACAATAGAGCTTTTGTTAATTGAAATACCAGACCTGTCTCGAATTCTTAATTATAATTCCGATCACGCTTTGTTGAAGTCCTGAAGCTATTCAGTCGGATATAAAAAAGAAGATTCTCCACAATATCATAACTACTTACGTTCTTATTTAACCACAATTTTGGTACTTTAGAGAATTTTTTTCCTCAATGATCGAGGTTACTTTGAGTTTTCATTGCTGGAATGCGAATTCAATTGATATTATTGAATGAAACAAATCAGCATATAAGCTAGAAACCTATACAATTAAAAACCTATATATTCTTACATTGTTCATTACGACAATTCCAGTCAAAAATCCAAATATATCTAATCTATTTGCCTGCTAGTAACAAATAAGGAATTAGATTGCTGTTATCGATCTCATACTCTTATCGCAAAGATTTGCGATAACCTTCTGATATTCAAATTGTATGCAGAGTACGAAGATCGAGATCCCTAATAAAATTACACTGACAGAAATGAGTGCGGTATTTTCCAAATGGCAATGCACTCGTGTCCCAATGTACTTTCTTGACTCGAATTGGCCCGAAAAAAATAAGCATCAGTGCCACGTGCAGAAAGTGTATCAATATTTGGACAATATGACTCACTAATTATTAATGAGTGTATGATGTTTGGTTTAGCCATCAAATAAAATTATTTTCTGTTAGTTTAATTAAGATTATTTCAAATGATATGTTTCAGATGGTGTTATGCCTTAGTGATTGTACATTCATTTTAGCAGTTGTAGTCGTAACATGTTTATGAGTATTTAAAATCGAACTATAAAAGCAATAATGTTTTATTTTCATTTATATCATGTTTTATTTCATAAAACGATATTACGTATTATTTTCATTAATTAATATCGTATTTGGTAGTATTGGTTAATATTTTTATTACTTAATGTGACTGAAATATAATTTTTTGCTCTATGGTAAGAATTCTGTTTCAAGCATTTTAATTGAAGTACATATTAATTGAAGTTTATATATACTCGCGTAGATGCATTCCCATCATTAGGGTTCTATAGAAAAACTTGTATGTAGCCATGTATGTAATTAAGGAAGTAATTTCAAGCATTTCCATGAATTAATAGATTTTATGTCATTCATATAACTCAATTGTGAACAATTGCACTTTAGCATTGCCAGGTACAACATTTATTACCAATGAAGGGAAGTAAATTTCGGAATCTATGTGAATATATTTGAATACATATAAGTAGTAATATATAAAAATTATTGTAATATGTAAATGATGTAGTAATATATAAATGATATAATAACATATAAATGATATAGAAATATATAAATAACTAAGAAATATTAATTAGAAACACTTATTTCTTGGCAGGCACGACATGGACCCAGGAGCTGGTGTGGTGTCTGGTGCGAGGGCTCGACCACAGCCTCAGCAGCAAGCCCCTCATGAACCGCTTCCCTTTCTTCGAGTACGTCTGAGGTCATTTTTTTCAATGTAAATTAATCCCATTAAGGAATTCTGAGCCTTTTTAGCGCATTTTCTCATTTATGGAGAAAATTAGCTATTGTGCTCGCCATGTCCTTCTGTCCGCCCGTCTCCCTGTCTGTCCGTCCGTGACTTCACGTTTTCTTCGACGAGAAAATGCGCTCTCTGTCTCTCACTGCAGTGAATACAGAGTTATATTTTTTCTCAATGTAAATTAATCCCCTTAAGGAATTCTAAACCTTTTCTACAATATATTACCCACAGGTCTCACCTTAAATCTTTCATAAAATCAACAAAGTAGTTGATACTGCTTTGTTTAGGAGGTTGTGTGTTATATATGGTAGGTAACATAGCAGGTTAGTTAACTCAACATGGCAGGTTTCCCGGATCATTTCAATTATCGGGTTATCCATCGTACCATCTTATCAAATTATCCGGATCATCTTATCAAATTATCCGGCTTTAGCTGGTTATAGCCTATCAGGTTTTATAGCTTATCAGAGGTTATCCGGCTTAGTTATCGCCGTGTCAGCTAATGCGGTTTAGTATATTGTACGTACGGCTTTTCAGTACGGCTTAGCAGGTTATTATCCGGCTTAGCTAGGTATAGCCTATCAGGTTTTATGGCTTATCAGAGGTTATCCGGCTTAGTTATCGCCATGTCAGGTAATGCGGTTTAGTAGGCCTATATTAAACGGCTTAGCGCTTATTCGGCTTAGCAGGTTATCTGCTGTAACAGGTTATAATGCTTGGTAATATAACCAAGACTCCCAAAAGAACTAAGCTTACTGAAATCTAGGCTATAACGCAACATAACTTTGCAAACCTCACTACTGATATTGTTATCTTGATAACAAGAGCAGTGGACTTGCACGTGCATGATGGTATCCATTGTTTGAATTTCTAGAACCAAGAGCAAAAATTTCATTTACGCTTCATGGCAAAAATGTATCATTTGTACTTGTTGAAGAATAAACATATTTTATGAAAAATAAATTCAATTATTATTTTTTTTGTAGGTGGGACTCTCTCATGACTCCAGAACTCGTCCAGGCTCTGGAGTCGATGCCAGACGACAACGTGGAGAAACCTGGAGCGCAATGGAGGATACTGGAGCGTGAAGACGACCCACGTCTGATCAAGACCCATCTCCACCGGGAGCTGATGCCCCGTGGCGTCAGAAGCTCCAAGTCTAAGGCATTGTAGCGGGAAATCTTGCAACATCGTACCTAGATAGACATTAAAAATTCAACACATTCTACTATGACTCTTAATAAAAATATAATAATATAACTGGTTATATTTATATTATATATCCAGTTAACCCGGTTATATATTTATATTAAAATATAAATATATAACCGGGATAAAATTCACATGCTGCTATAGTTTCCGTATTTCGTATGGACGTGAATATTGCGCTGAAGAAAAATAAAAGTAGACCATCGATTCATAGAATCTCGAGCTTCTGCAGTATGCCTTGCCCTTTAAGGCAAATGACGTAGGAACTACGTCCTTTTTGTTGAAGGAACTTTATTAATGTATGTTATTTCTACGTCAGATGCCAGCGGGGTTAGGGATAATCAAAGTGTGTGAAATTGTGAAATTTGACTGCATATCAAATGGTGTATTTTTCCATTATCATCTTATTTTTTCAAAACAATCCAATATATTTATATGAATTTATTGTTATTTATGATATGAAGCCAGTTCAAGTGACGTGTCTGAATATGAATGATTTATCTCTTTTAACATGTTCTAGAGAGAGCGGCTGAATTCTCGACGAGAAAAAACCTTGTGCAAAAAAACTGCATCGAAACGAATTTTTTAATATTGTTGAATACCTTGATACACTTTGCCCATTAATTATACGTATTTAATATTGTTGAATACTCTGATACTCTTTGTGCATTAATTATACGTTTTTAATATTGTTGAATACTTGGATACCCTTTGCGCATTAATTATACGGCACCTAAAATTAATACGATGATTACTCTACGCAGATAATATACGTGGTACGCGACCCACGAGACGTCTGCGTGTCGCTCTTCCATCACACCATCAAATTCCTTGGCTACACCGGAGATTTCGATCACTTCGTCGACATGTTCCTTAGCGCCCGATGTGAGTCTGGATCATTTAAATTATTCGAATAACAGGACGTATTTATCAATGTATTTCGTTTTTTTTAATGTGAGCATAACACGCTATGTTATCAGAATAACAAGGCGTATTTATCAATGTGTTTCGTTTTGTTTAACGTGAGCATAACACGCTATGGTCAGGTTATTTTTTAATGCGAAAATAAAAAGACGACCGCATCATTGCTTGTTAGCGGAACAAGCTGTGAATGTTCTGCGATGTTAAGAATCGGCGACAGGCCTACGGCCTAATGAACGCTGAAGCCGCTATTATTATTATAAAGTTGATGCCATGAAAGAGGCAGCAAAAATCTCAGAGCTACGGATTTAATACATACGAAGTAGAAACTCCATTTGATATAAAATCAAGCCTCGTTAGCATTAGTGACTTAGAATAGATCATTTGAAAATTATTATAACTATCAATCGGCGCCAAAAAAATTAAAAAAGTGGTACATTTGATTAAGCACTAAAATATTTGCAAAGGTGAGAGTGCACATTAAAAGTGAAAAGAGTTAAGGTAATTTTTTGTGGCAAAGATTTCCTATAATGTAATCATACTAATATGATTTTGTCGAGCAATGTAGAGAAAATAATAACGAACTAGCAGACTGGTGCCAGGACGTGAGAAGTATTTAACGTATAAAGAGTAGCTAAAATGTTTTACGAAGGAATAACAACCTTTTATTGCAGATGAATTCGGGCCGTACTGGAGCAACGTGTTGAGCTTCTGGAATAGAAGAAAAAGCGACAACATCCTTGTGTTGAAATACGAAGATATGCATGCGGTGAGTGTGGTTAATGTTGACTTATGTGGCGTAGGGTGGAGGGTGTTGAAAGCAAAAAAAATTTTAATGCAAATATTTGCTTTGCGAAATGTGTGTGAGTGTAGAGAGCTACCGCAGAAAAGTTTCAGCGACTTTTTCAGTTGTTTTCTAGGAGCTCAATAAATCTCGGGAAACAATACATTTTTGGTCTTTTCAGAATGTGAAATTATTATTTTAATATATTTAAAATCTCCATCACAGTTGAATAATTCTCACGGTCTTCTTTTTCGGTTACCACATTACAAGATTCTGTTTACTAAGTTACTTCGTTTACTTCAATAAGTTCTCCGCAAACATCAAAATTTTTTGCGTTTTACTGTCTGTAAAAGGAGTCGAAAATCTCTTAGCTGACAAAATAAAAGTTGCTTTTCCGTAGCTATAAGGTGATCAATTGATATTTTATTACAATTAATACAATTTCTATATGATTATATTGTGTTCCGGCATCTTTCGATAAATCTAAACTTGAAACAAATAACATGGTTCAGGACTTGGTTGGCGCGGTGGTACGAGTAGCCAAGTACCTAGAGGTACCAGTACCAGAGGACCAACTCCCGGAGATTGTGGAGCATCTTTCTTTTAGAAATATGAAGGATAACCCAGCCACCAACAACGAGAGCATCATGGATGGACTGGTCGAGAATACGGGCGTCAAGTTCATGAGAAAAGGAATTGTAAGTTGCAAATGACACAAAAATTTAAATTCCTTCCCTGTATGCAAGCGTTGTTATTTGTTATAATTTATTTGTAACCGGAATTTTATCTACATTTCCGGTGTGTTAGACGAATAATTGTTGATTTAGTCTCGTATCATTGATTAATAATATGGACAAGACCGTTTTTGCTAAAAGCTTTCTAGAAATTGATGGCGACGAATGAGTGCATGAGAGTCAAATGATCAACTTTTACTTTAAAATTGAACTGATGAAAATCAAAACCAAAAAACGAGAAAGAAATCCCGTTACAGAAAACATGTAAATAACTTCAGAACATGACATTTATCCATACGTAAACATGAATTTTAAACCTTAATGAGAGAATTGGATGAGCGAATTCGAATTTAAAATTTTCTAATTGCTATTCGACTTCTCTACTTTACCGAAAAAACGAAGATAAGTAGCGCTATCTCGTAGAGGGGTAACCCTAATCAGACACTGCATCCACACTTTGCTGACAACGACGATGAGAATATCCTCATTATATCCTTTTTTCACACATTATATCGTCATATCCTCATTATATCCTTATTTCACACATTATATCCTCGTACCCTCATTATATCCTTTTTTCACACATTATATCGTCATATCCTCATTATATCCTTATTTCACACAATATATCCTCGTATCCTCATTATATCCTTATTTCACACATTACATCCTCGTATCCTCATTATATCCTTATTTCATACAATATATCCTCATATCCTCATTATATCCTTGTCACGTTTTTTGCAAAATAGCGCATATCGCTGTATTTTCATCATGCATTACCCGATATTTAACACATTTCGAAGAGATGCCAGCAGTCGCTACTAAAACTCCTCCTGATTAGCCACTATGAATTTGTTCCACAGAAAAAGCCAGCCTTATTGGCTTAAAGTCGTAACATTTAATGACGTATAAGTTTTTACAAAAAAACACGCTTTATTGATTACTATTTGCAAAATATTTTAGTGCATAAGTTTTCATTTAGGTAATTCTCTCTTAATCAAATCCTCGATAACGATGACTAATCGATGGTTTTAACAGGTAGGGGATCACAAGAACGTGTTGTCCGTAGACCAGCTCAAGATGTTCCAGGTGTGGACGCAGACTTGTCTCAAGAACTCAGACTTCCCATACTACAGAGACTGAAACGTCGTGCAGCTGAACTGATATCAGCGTATATCATATTAAGGGCAGCATGTTATGATGTAATACGTTATATCTTAATGATTTATAACGTAATAATAATGTTGTATAATAATGTAATAATATATAATAATAATAATGTAATGTTTAATAATGTAATACGTAATATCGTAATGTTTTGTAACGTAATAGTAACACTATATAATACTACGCATAACATATTAAGACCAGCACGTTATAATGTAATCGTTATATTGTAATTATTTATAACGTAATAATAACACTATATAATAATACGCATAACGTATTAAGGGCAGCATGATATACTGTAATACGCTATATCGCAATTATTTATAACGTAATATTACCATCATATAATAGTTATAATAGTTAAAGTTATTTATATTATATTATATATAATATAATAGTTATAATAGCATATTAATTAGTTAAGTTATAGTTAGCATATTAATGCTTATAAATGAATACGAGAGTTAATTCTGAGACAAAGAACCATTCGATATTTGTGTTAATTATAGAAATGCTCTTATTGTTATAAATTAGTACGAAATTTTTCCAATGAGTTAATAGGTAATACTTTTTTATTTAGTAGCAGCTTTGGGCCAATTTGTGTCATAGGATACAAATTAGTGTAAAGTGTCGAGTTCTGTCTTGTCACATTACTATTTCTATATTAATACATAGATAGATTTCGAAACGAACCTAAACTCGCTGGTAATTTCCATTATAAGAAATATCAACGACGATAATAGATGAGCCCTGAGTCACACTTTGTGTCAAGTTATTAATAAGTCATGAATTCATATATACTTTTATTATCTCAGCAATTATATAAGTAATATTTTTAAATCTCTAGTTACCTGTTATGCTAGTAATAAGTCATGACTTTAAATATACTTTTATTAACGCAGTAATTAATTAAAAAATATTTATAGCCATTTAGTTACATTTTCTATCATGCTGAAACTAAGCCATGAATTCAAATATACTTTTATTATATCAGTAATTAAATAAAAATATTTATATCAATTTAGTTACATTTTCTATCATGCTGATAATAAGTCATGAATTCAATTATACTTTTACCTTATCAACAATTGATTTAAATATACCTTTACAGTAGCAACGAACCCTACAAATGCTGTACGAGTAAAAGAAAACGTCGCAAAGTTACCCACATCCCCCACACGACAATACGGTTAATTTCAACAGTGGTGGCACTACAAGGTTACTCATTAACATTAATAAGGTTAAAATTGAATTATTCAGTAAACGTTACTCGTAATTGCGATAGTACGGGAAGTCTGAATCTTTCAACGCCTCCTCCGTCCACTTCTTGAACTGCTGGAGTTGTTGAGCGCTCAAGTGGCTTGCGTGGTCGCCAACCTGGAGCACAATACATTTAATATTATTTGAATATGTAAATCTGCATTTCCTTAAAATGTGAATATACACTTGCTAGAAATTCAAATTTATATTTTTTATAAATATAAAACTGCATTTGTTATAATATTTAAATCTGCAACCGGTAAAAATGAACGCAATTCAAACTCAAATCGAACTTTCATCGAGTTTACTGCAAAATTTACTCCACGTAAATTCGAGTCAACAAGATTTCTGTAAAAAATAGCACGGATAACACGGATTGTTGTGAATAAAATATCTGCAGATGTGAGAATTTTTTTTTCTTAATGAATAAGAGAAATTAAACCATACGAATACGATGGTTTGCTAATTCCTTCAATTCATTGACAAAAATTATTAATGATATTATTTCAAAAAGAGTTGTATAACACATTTCTGGCAAGACAAAATTATCATAGAAATTCTGGGGTAAGAAAAACTATAGGTAACCCAAATTGCCATTTTGATTCAGAAAAGGAGCACTCAAAGTAAGAGGGAACCAAGCTCACATGGTATCTAAAGAATATAGCAATGGTTTCTTAGGTATATAGCAATTGTTGTGTTGCATATGCCAAATCTAACCTTTCACCGATTTATTCGTAGCTGTAGAATAGTCGCCATACCTCTAGCTATGAGTTAGACATGAATTGCAGTCAATTCATGGGCTACATTACCAGGTGTAGCTACATTCAAGGATCGCCGAAAAATGATGCGCGAGGATATATAAATTCAAGTCATCCAGAACATCAATATGACTAGGCAATATGGAATCCTTCCGTAAAAATAATCCAAAATTTTACTGGATAATTCAATTGACTTTTTTCCTAAGATATGGTATCGTCTAACTTACATTACTTTAGAAGTATTGACTATTCCTTTCACGCTGCTGCTATACGAGAGGGACCTGATCCCAAACCATGTCTAAATTACTCTCCTCAAAGAGGCTTCAGTGAAGGCTTTCTAATGTCTAGGTTGAAATGTGGACATCATCGATATTAAAACAGATTTACTTTATAAAGTACCATCATATAATTTCCCAACTGGGTTTAAATTTCCTTTATCCATTAATAACATAATTACTAATTTTCCGTTTACATTTTCTCTATAAATAATAACGTAATTACTAATTTACCCATTCTAAGCCTTCAAAGAACTTCTTACCTTGCCTTGTCCCATGTAATATCCTACCTGGGCTCTAACTTCTTTATTCATTAATAACATAATAACCAATTTACCTTCTCAAAGCCTTCTAAGAACATCTTACCTTGCCTTGTCTCATAAACTTGACCTGCCCCGCGGTGTTTGGGTTGATGGCGGCCGCAGCGAGGACCTCGTTGTTGGTGGCGGGGTTGGTGCTCATGCTGCTGAAGGAGAGATGCTCTGTCAGAGCCGCCAGCTCTGAAGCCCCTAGGGCGCCCTCTGACCCTCCTCTCTTGATGCCCAGAAACTCGGCAAGTCGGAGCAGAGTGCCGGGCAAGTCCTGAAGCGTGGGGTTATTTACAGTACCAAGTAGAGCAGTAATGGATAATATATTAATATAATAGAAAACAAAATACATAGTAAATTATAAAATAAGATGAAATAATATATAAAATGAATTCAAGAATTATATTAAATTATTTTATACATAAGCAAGCAGAACATTTTATTAGCAACTTATTGACTTTACGCTATCTACTCAATATTGCGTTCCACTGTTAAATGCAATGGAAAATTGCTATTTCTTCTACAAAACGAAAGCATGTGTGTTTTTTTAATTATGGTAGCATTTGGCCATCTTTATATACTGTTATATTTTATAAATTCACCGATTGTGAAAGAAAACATTTCGACTATGAATTTATCAGAGAAAAATCAACTCAAGAGTAAAGGAAAGCAGATTTTGCAAGAAGTTTACAATATCATCATTTCCTGAGGAGAGTCACGATAGAGCTGCCCAACGTTTGGATTCTATATCACTCAAGAAATCAATGGGTTATATACTGTTTAAATAGTGACACACTTCTACGGGTAACACTTATACGCCTTTTTGCGTGCCGAATGTGGTCCGAAATAGCAGAAAGTGGGTAGCTATTTTCACAAAGTTTAACCGATTTTTCTGAGTGTATGAGCTTCTTGGCTACGTACCAACAACTTTGGCAAAGAGTGAACAAAAAAATGCAATTTAAACATACAAATGGCAATTCCTATTACTGAACTAATTGGTGGAGAAGAAGTTGTGAAGACGTAATATTTTATGAACAGCTGCCAAGTCATTATAACTCTGTAGGGCACAAACCTTCTTGAGTTGTTCGAATGTGAAGAAGAATACGTTGGGCTGGTGCCTGCGCTGCCAGTAGCTCAGCACGTTGCTCCAGAATGGACCCCAAGGCACTGAATAGAAAACAAAAGCTTAAGGGAAAGTTGGATATTTTGTATGCAGTTATTTATTTTGTATATAATAAGGTAGTGATATCACAAACGTCAATTCACTGATTGACGGAGCACTGAGAGGTAGTTCATTTTTCAAAAATTAACATTTTCCGCAGTATCCCATGGCCCACTGGACCCCAATTTCCCGCTGTATCCTATGGTCCACTGGACCTCAATTTCCCACTGTATCCCATGGCCCACTGGACCCCAATTTCCCGCTGTATCCCATGGTCCACTGGACCCCAATTTCCCACAGTATCCCATGGCCCACTGGACCCCAGTTTCTCACAGTATCCCATGGCCCACTGGACCCCAATTTCCCACTGTATCCCATGGCCCAATGGACCCCAATTTCCTTTTTATTACATAAACCAAGTAGCACACTCTATGAGGGATTACGGCTATCAGAGGATTATATCGTGTACGTTTTGCATGGCAATTACAAATTATTTGAAAAAGGTACGATATGTTCATGTGAAACTTGCATTATTTGGATAGCAGGAAGGAATAAATATGCACACAATAAATGAAAAATAACATAAAAGTGTCCTTCGTGTGACAATTGCGATGTCAGAAACAAAGACTAACCGGCAAATAAGTTTATTTCATTTAAAATATTTTTTGGAAAGTTGACAATAAAATTGAAGAAATATACTTACATAATCAATTCTATAGACGAAATACCTAAAATACGAAGATGTGACTCTTTTAGTTCCCCAGTGTGGGATAGGAGTCAAAGTAACAACGAAAATAATAAAGCAGAATGTGGGATAAGAGTCAAAGTAACAACGAAAATAATAAAGCAGAATGTGGGATAAGTCAAAGTAACAACGAAAATAATAAAGCAGAATGTGGGATAAGTCAAAGTAACAACGAAAATAATAAAGCAGAATGTGGGATAACAGTCAAGGCAACAACGAAAATAGTAAAGCAGAAACTTACGTGCGTCGGCAAGGAATATCTTGACGAAGGTATCGAAGTCGCCGGTGTAGCCCTCGAGCTTAATATGGTGGTAGTAATACGAGACACAGAGATCACGGGGGTCACGACACACGTACACGATCTGTCGTGGGAGAAGAAAAAAGGTCACGGGGGTCCCGACACACGTACACGATCCGTCGGATCTGTCGTGGGAGAAGAAAAAAAGTCACGGGGGTCACGACACACGTACACGATCTGTCGTGGGAGAAGAAAAAAGGTCACGGGAGTCACGACACACGTACACGATCTGTCGTGGGAGAAGAAAAAAGGTCATGGGGGTCACGACACACGTACACGATCTGTCATGGGAGAAGAAAAAAAGTCACGGGAGTCACGACACACGTACACGACCTGTCGTGGGAGAAGAGCAAAAGTCACGGGATTTGTAACACACGTACACTATCTGTCGTGGGAGAGGTGCAATTAAGGGTCGCGGGTGTCCCGACACACGTGCAATATCTGCTATGGTTTCACTGTTAGAAAAAACGGTTAAAAACGGTCTCACCGGCGTTCTAGTGGCCGACCGCCACGTGAAAATAAACCGTTTCGCCGTTTTTTTTTCAGATTATGTGCGGGTTTCTAGTGTTAAATTTGAATAAAAATGGTCATGCGGTGTTTCTTTTCACGTGTCGGCCGGCCACTAGAACGCCGGTGAGACCTTCTTCTTTCTTCTTCTTTTCCGGATGTCCACGCTGGGTGGACTTAAAGCCACAGGACAACCGCAAGGATGACCGTGGGGCCTGAGAGCTTCTGCAGCGCCGGTGAGACCGTTTAAAGGTGATTTTTCTTACAGTGAAAGCAGATCAGTACGTTGGATATTGGGGTATGAGTATTTTTGTCACTAGAGCATTGCAATGACCCTTTGGAATGAGGGAATGGGTACATCGGACAAGAGGACATGAAAGCCTTTTTCATAAGTACATGAGAACTTTTCTCGTGAAAGCATGATCATGAGTGAGAACTTTTGTCATAAAACCATGATCATGAGTTAGAACTTTTGTCAAAAAACCATGATCATGAGTGAGAAATATTGTCATAAAACCCTGATCATGATCGAAAACTTTTGTCATAAAACTATGATTACGAGTTAAAACTTTTGTCATAAAACCATGATCACGAGTTAGAACTTTTGTCATAAAACCATGCTCATGAGTGCGAGTTTTTGTCAAGAAACATGATCATGATCGAGTGAGAACTTTTGTCAAAACAAACTTCTTTAACAGAACAAAACTTTTTTAACAAATAAAACAAGTTACCTTGGCCTTCGAGGCGTGTACAGAGGGCGGCAGCAGGGCCCAGTGGACGTGAGTCTTGATGTTGCGAGGGTCTGGTAAGGTCTTCGTCAGGATGTCCCACATGACGCCCGTCTTGTTGACGTCGTCGTCAGGCAGGTGCTCCATGGAGTGCCAGTCCGGGAAAAGGGAGTCCCACCTAATTTAAAATGTATCAATTAAAATTTAATTTGCATGGTTTCAATTCATTTGATGATAAAAAATTGATTTAATTGCATTTAAATTGTTTTATTTAATGACACCACATTCTTACAAGTCCGTAAAAAATGAGAAGTTCAGAAGTACAAATTTCATAAGTGAAATAAAATTATTTCAAAATTTTTATTATCAAAATTTATATTTTATGATAGTTAAAACATGCTGAAAAAAGTTCCCATTCCTCCAATTCAGAGTGCAGATATTAATTCAGAAGTGAACTATTAAAAATACATGTATCTTGTGATCTTGTCATGAGTTTAAGACTTCGTAATCCACGGTCTAGCTGATGCTCCGCCTTCGTCGTCCTCCGTCTCCGAGTCGTCGCTAGGCAGGAGCCATATTTTCAAAATTCGCTAAGTTAACGTAAGTACTTACGCTCTATTCTCTTGTCTGTGATTGGTCGATTTTGGTTGAAAGGCCGTCAATGATTGGCTGATGAACTTACGATCTCTTAACTTTTTTGAAACCCGGAATATAATACCATGTTATAAAATACGTTAACCATGTTATTATAGGTACCTAGAGGGACCTACTCGAAGAACGGTGAGCGGGCTGGTAGGAGTTCTGTAAGACGAGGCGACTGTAGAGTGTAGAGCAAGCACCACACCATCTCTTGTGTCCATGTCGTACCTGGTAATAATGATGAATTAACATCGAAACAAAATATAAAAAAATATAACTCTGTACTCACTGCAGTAAGTGATAGAGAGCGCATTTCCTCGTCGACGAAAACGCGAAGTCATGGACGGACGGACATGACGAGCACAATAGTGTATTTTTTCCAATAGTGCAATAGTAAATTTCAATAGTGCAATAGTGCAAATGCGCTAAAAGCGAGATACGCAGTTATGTGGTTCAGAATGAACTTTTATAGTAATCGAATAAATTTCAACTAGATGCCATAAAATCGGCTTTGAACAATCGCGTAATGGTCATCAAGGTTTAGAAATTTGCTTCTGCATGCAGGCTTCATTGCACAACGAAATTTAGCATAGAAAAACAGCTTCATTGCACGTTTTTTCACATTAAATGCAGGACTCTATTTAAAATAATTCAGTCGCTTCTTGGCATTTTAGGTATTCTAATAAGCAACATTAGAATCCTGATCATTGAATTTATTTTTTACATTGAATGCAGGTCTCTCTGTAATATAATGCAGTCGCTTCTTAGCATTTTAGGTATTCTAATGAGCAACATTAGAATCCTGATGTTAAAGGTATTCAAGACAGCGTCCTAATTAAATATTCGGTAGATGAGTAACCTGCTTTAGGATGTGATGCGATCCAAACGTCGGTAGGTCGCGACTGGAATCTCTGGTACTGATCATGGTACTTCTTGTAGGTGGCTGGCATGAGGGTACTGCTTGGTACCACCTCAACCAGCTGCTGGTACACGGGTAGGTATTTCTGGAGAGACTCCAACTCCGGTCCTGAGTAATCCTTGAACTCCATTCTAGGAGGCAATCAGAGGAGCCATATGATTGATTCTCACAAGACTCAAACCTTTAACTGTTAAAATTTTTGCAAAGCAACAATGGGGTTTGACTTACCAACGCATTAATAGGGTTTGACTTGTCAATGCATTAATAGGGTTTGACTTGTCAATAGGGGTTTTGACCGCCTATTTTGACCCCCTTTTGCATTAATATAGGGTTTGACTTGCCAATGCATTAATAGGGTTTGGCTTGTTAATATGGGCTTAACGTCTGCGCCCTGACAAATTTACATCAAAAAAGCTACTGAATTATTTATCAAAATAAACTTACAACCAATTATTCCACCTAACTCTCGCTCAAAATGCATCATTTTCTTTCAGGTAACTGGAAAAAGACATACATTGAAGTGCTAAAAATACAGGTAATACACAGTAATGTTCAACATTTATAGGCAGGAAGACCTCGACAAAAATTAAACGCGAATTAACAAGAATGCAAAACTGGATCCATATTCAAGACATAATAAAGGTCGAAAACTATTCTCACGATAATAAAATCATAACGACGGACACGGCAACAGCACAACGCATCCCTAACGACGGCTTCTCTGTATTCAACAATAAAATCGACCCAAACTGTGGGAACAGGAAAACTACACTCATATCCTTAACTGCTACAAGTGCTGCTAATTCAGAGACCATCCCACTCCCTTTCTGCACAACCATCACACAATCCTCTCCAATGTGTGGGACCTACATATAGCGGTTTCAGCGTTTATTAGGCCGTAGGCCAGTCGCCGATTCTAAACATCGCAGAACATTCACAGCTGGTCGCGGTCTCGAACTCGCAACTCACTGCTACAATTCTGTTGTGCTAACCGCCCGGCCTCCTTGCCGATTCTGACCAGAAACTGGCGCACAGAGCTGGGATCGAACTCGCACCTCTCTGATCTTGGTACTCTAAACTTTAACCACTGGGCCACCATTTCACAATCCTGCTCTGAATGCGCATCCCACGATCGCACGTACACTCAGTGCATCAACATACACACAGAATGCGTCAACTGCCATCAAAATCAATGGAAACTTGCCGCCAACTGCCCATACATGGAACATGCAATCATAAAAAACACTAGGCAAAGAAACACATACGACACACTAAAGATTCGCTGATATAACGAAGCATGTACAACAACAAATCAACGTGCCACAACAACAATCAACGTGCCTCACTCCCACAAACACAGCACATATCGAACTGACAGCAATAATATTGGAAGCATACAAATACAAAAATACAATAAAAATACGAATACAATACAAATAGCTATCCAAATCTTTGAAAGACAATTATGATATTGACGCCACCTTTCCTGACCATGACTAGACAAGAATATTCAACTATTCTACAACCACGACGTGAAGGAAACATACACAGACAGTAATAAATAAAACCTAAAAACTGAACTTATAGATGACGATGACACATGCACGTCCATGCTAAACCTTGCGGAACTGCAGGTCGACGATGAAAGCCCGCAAAACCCATCACCCTCAGCAACCAAGACCCATCAAGATGCCCATAAGGAATATAAAATATAACTCAGTATTCACTGCAGTGAGTGACAGAGAGCGCATTTTCTCGTCGATGAAAACTTGAGGTCACGGGCAGACGGACGGACAGACAGACAGACAGACGGACGGACGGACATGGCGAGCACAATAGTGCATTTTTTCCATAAATGATAAAATGCGCTAAAAATGAACATAGGGGACGAGCATTACAGATAATCACTTATTTCAATACCAGGATACGACGAATTGAAGTGATTAGACACGACCCTCTAGTTTTTTAGAAGCTCCAACGGCAACAATCCAGTGCCCAACATCCCATATAACATATGGTACATTTAAACAAACTGAGAAAGAAAAACTACGGACTGAAACTCTCGGTGAATGATTTTAACTTTTCTAAAATATAATTAACTATTTGAGACACGACAAACTTAAATTATCCAGATCCACAATCAAAATAATCCATCACGACGACTTCATAATCAAGGACAGCAACAACAATTTGACTTGTTAATGGGCCTGGCAATGCAAAGCTAAAGACTCAAGTGGCACAAAACTTAAAATTTCAGCGTCAAAAGCAACCGACAAATTTCAAGAGACAAATCAAAATTCAAAAATAAATTCAAATTCGAAATATATCAAAAACACTTGAAATATGTTTCTTTGCACGGACTCACTCGGTAACAGGAGTCGAGTTCTCATCCTCAGTTTCAGCCATTTTGTCGAATGAGAGATGTTAAGTTTGTGCTCCTTATAAACAATTTAGTTAATTAAAAAATCTGTTTTTCATCTATAACGAAAAGTTAGATTTTCAGACATGAATAGAGAACTGCCAGCCTAGAGATACGGTATGAATGTCCTCCTCAAAAGTACAAATACTTTCTTCTCTCAGGGTAACACATACAAAATACCTTTATAATCATACTAGCATCACTGTAATTACTTGCTGTGATTTTCAACTGATTCCAGCATTAAATAAGAAAAACACGCACTTGTAATTTTCTATTCCCAGACTCCATTTCCATATTCTCAGCCTCGTTGCTATATTAATGTCACATTTAGACTTGCAGCAATATGAATACGTTATCATGTTTGTTGGTAAAGTTATCAGCCACAACCACCATCTAACTACCTATTCATCGACCATACCTAGTATAAAGAAGCTCAGACGCATCAAAAATATCTATTAAAGCGCAAATTTTATCACAAATGACGTTTTACCAGTGAATGTGAAATATTGTATTTCGTTTTTAGTGTCTTAACTGGCAGGAATTTACAAAATTGAAAATTAACGAATCTGTCTACAGATGTTCTTTCCTTTTAATGATATAGTAGTTATTTACAGGAGGCTATCGTCAGCTGCTAAAAGACGCGAATATATAATAACACGCGAAATACTGAGACTAGGATACTAGTGTTTTCTTAACCCCAATAAAAAAGTGCTCCTTGAGTTTTTTTATACTAATATTGGTATTAGTATTAGAATTAGTATTAGCATTAGTATTAGTATTAGTATTAGTATTAGTATTAGTATTAGTATTAGTATTAGTATTAGTATTAGTATTAGTATTAGTATTAGTATTAGTATTAGTATCAGTGTCAGTATCATAGGATTACACCCAGATAAATTTTCCCGTACCCGCATCTTAGTTGTGCTATTTTGAACATGCTGTACGCTACTGCAGAAGCAAAATGCATTAATGTACAATTTTAGAGCCTCTTCTCATCTTTAACTAATTTAACGATATATTTTCTCACTGTTCATGGATACCATGGTGAAATTGTTTGATTGTTTGATCATGTTTGAAATTGTTTGATCATGTTGAAATTGTTGATACCATGGTGAAATTGTTTGATGAAAGTGCATTAATTGTTGACTGTTGTTCGTCCGTTAATTCCACCTGAAAATCTTTGAGAAATAACTGAAATTTTTTACTTTTTTTATGTACGACAAATGAAACACGTGGTCTCATTCATGATAGATATCTTATCGTGTGGTGCTTAGCTCGTTGATAACATAACGATAAGGAAGCTACGTCTTTTGTTCGAGGATCGCACTGATGTGCGACGACTGTAATGAAGGATAGAGTGACATTAGTTAAGTTTAATGACAGCAACGAGCAATGTGTTCTAACTACAAATAAAAACTTTAAATACCGAAGTTTTAATATAAGTTATGACTAATGAGAAAGTTCATTTCATTGTTCTATAATAATCAACATGATTGTATTTATTAATTAATAGCAGGTTAGCTCGGGATCGATAATTATATAATCCGTGCAAAATTAAAAATATATAAATAAACGAAGCAAATAATGATGAATAATAATTAAGAAGGAAATTTCAAGACTTAAATTTTACTTATAAAGTAAAACTCTCTCATTTGACACACGTTTATAAATAATAAGAATTAATCTTCAGCATATCTTAGAAGTAAATATGTAGGACTTGAAGTAAATATGTAGGAGGACTTAGAAATCAAACTTCAATTTTTGTTGGGATCCCTTTCTCACAGTATTGCAATGCCTCGCTATTCTCTCTTTAAGAATACATTTTCATGGCCAAGTAATATGCCTGGATTCGAATAAACACCTACATAAACTCACAAACTTGATGTAAAATCAAAAATGGTATAACTACGGCATGAGATTATTGAATTATAAATGCCTAGGCACTTCTAATTCATGCCTATAATTCATTCTATAAATTAATAATTCATTCTATAAATTAATAATTCATTCTATATATTAATAATTCATTCTATAAATTAATAATTCATTCTATATATTAATAATTCATTCTATAAATTAATAATTCATTCTATAAATTAATAATTCATTCTATAAATTAATAATTCATTCTATAACTTAATAATTCATTCTATAAATTAATAACTCATTCTATATATTAATAATTCATTCTATAAATTAATCATTCATTCTATAAATTAATAATTCATTCTATATATTAATAATTCATTCTATATATTAATAATTCATTCTATATATTAATAATTCATTCTATAAATGCCTAGGCACTTCTAGAGACGCAATACACAGTGTAGCACCACACAGTGCATCTGCATCGAAGGCAGCTAAGCGGCAACTGCCGGGCTAGTGATTGTACAGCTGCATCTGATGCCAGCTGCAGCTGCATCTGATGCAAGGTACAGCTGCATCTGATGCAAGGTACAGCTGCATCTGATGCAAGGAGTAGCTGCATCTGATGCAAGGTACAGCTGCATCTGAAGCCAGCTACAGCTGCACCTGATACAAGGTACAGCTGCAACAGATGCAAGGTACAGCTGCATCTGATACAAAGTACAGCTGCATCTGAGACAAGGTACAGCTGCATCTGTTGCAAGCTACAGCTGCATTTGATGCAAGGCACCGCTGCAACAGATGCAAGGTACAGTTGCATCTGATGCAAGGTACAGCTGCATCTGATGCCAGCTACAGCTGCACCAGATACAAAGTACAGCTGCAACTCTATATAACAAATAAAACGCGCCTGAAAGTTGATTTTTTTTTATTTTTGAAAATTAGATGACAAAGTGTTGTCTTTAAAAAGTAATTTTTAAACGTATATTATTCTCTGTGTGAGTCATCCTGACCCGGTTTGACCCGGCAAAAGGACGCATCTGTGCTACGTGCAGGAAGTGTGTCACAATTTAGATAACATAACCCATTACTTACAGTAATTCCCTAAAAGTAATCCCTAAAGTTTACAGTAAATCCCTAAATTATGAAATTAAGTTGCACAACAATAACTCCCCGGATCATCTCTGATATTTCAACTGATATATCTCTGAGAAAACACTAGGTTATCTCATTTGATCTCTTGGTTGGCTAAATCATAAATTCTGACGAGTTTTGGGAAGCAGCTACGTGTGTGATAAATAAATATAATGAACCCTTTGATAGGGACTTATCGGGGAATTATATTTTTTCGGGGAATTTTCTTGTGCTTTATTTCTAAAAAATATTATTTATTTCGCGCATTTGGACCGAATGGCTTACAATGCATTTTCCGTCGAACTTCTCAGGTCGCGATTGCATGTCCGCCAGTCTAGATTGCTCAAGACAATTATATTGATTAATGAAACACACGGGCTTTTGTTTGTTAAAAATATATTAACAGGAAGAAGAACAAAATTGAATCAAAATTTAAAATCATGCCGTAACTTTGCATAACTATTTTTATATTTATATGAACACGTCAAACTTTCATGTGGGATGATAACACAATGATATTCAGCGATAGTGTTCATCGAATTTTTTCCATATTTATCGCGGGTTCAGTTCTTGAAAAAAAACTGAAGCTGCAAGCTATGATTTGTTCAATAAACTGTTATCGTACCACTTTCAAGTGTTTTCTTTTAATAGAAACAATTACATTAGAAAATCAAGTTTATGAAATTAATAATAAAGTTTGGTCTTGGACAAAAGTTAATGCTTACGATGTGATTCATTTATTAATGACTATAGGAACACATTTACGGTTCTTTTTGGACAGCTCGTTAGAAATAAAGTATAGATTTGTATAAAATAAATTAAATCAGGAACAAGATAGCGAATAAGCTTATAAGAAATCAGTTATAGATCACGAGAAATTTCAGCTATAGCCGGACTTGAAAGACAACAAAAACAATTCGCGAAAGCTGATGAACTGAAGTTTTGATTACCAAAGGCTTAAATTAAAGGGCCGAAAGTCTTTGGCCTGTAAGGCCGGTACTAATCTTTAGTCAAATTGCTAGATAAATCACTCAATGCCAAAGTCTCAAAAGTCCTTGCGATCTCAGGCACTTGGTGCCAACACTTCAAGTCCATATGAGCTAAAGCCCTAGGATAGAGAGCCACGGCATTGCAATGGGGGTAAAGACTTTAAGTCCACATGATCCAAAGCCATAAGATCCAGAGCCACGGCATTCAAAAACCTCAAGACCCCAAGCTGTCCAGGATTGTGGACTTCAAGGTACGTTGCTCTGAGGCTTTAATGGTTTCGAATATTCCGGTTCATCACCTTGATGTTCGCCTTCGTGCATCTCATGTTCCTCCAGCTCTTTATCCTCTCCTGAAGCTGCGCCGTCTGCCTCATCTTTCTTCTGTGGAGGAAAATACGATGAAATAGTGAAGCCGTAATGTTAAAAATAGTTGGAAATTAATAGTGGGTTCATGCTAAAATCCTTTAGCTTCTTCTGTGGAGGAAAATACGATGTGTTCGACTAAGTAGGAAAGCCGTAATATTAAAAATAGTTGAAAGTTAATAGTTAGTTTATGCTAATGCCGCCAATCATTGACAAGAAATCGGCCGCTACGTGTACTTAGGCATGTACGTGCACTAAAAAGAGTTTTGAAAATACGGCCTCAGGACCGCATTTACGGCACTGTACACGTACAATGGTGTACGACACATTGCCAGTCATATTGCACGACACATAGTCATATTGTATTGCCAGTCATTTATAATCTGTGTGCAATATTGTATGACACGCTAGACAAAATCTTATACAGAATTTTACGCATAATATTGGTGACACTACAAGGGTGATCGATATTAATGTATCACTAGAGCATCCCAGGAAAATTAAACTTCTGGTATATTATGTAATGTCATTCCGTTAGGGATAACATAATACGTAGTGTGCGGTAAATGACACGTCTCCAAACCTTTATCTCCACCAGTTACGAGTAATTTAGCGAAAATCCAATAAATTTATAAATTATAATAAAATCAATAATATAATATTATAAATTATAAATAAATCAATAATTTATGCGAAAAATCCAATAAATACCAAGCGGGCTTGTCAGAAAATAATTATTCACCACTCGTATGTAACATTATTTATAAAATGAAAGGGATTAATATGATAAACGCGGACTCAATATCAGAACTAAAATTATTTCTAGGTCAAGCAA